GCTTTCTTGCTGAGTCGAATGAGAAGATAAACACTCTCAGATCTGTTCAGTATGAAGCAGCCAACAGACAGTTAGCTTAGCATAAAGGCAGGAAACAGGCGAGACTAGCTCTGTCAAAAGGTAACACCATTGAGCTAAAAGCCCCCCTAAGGCTCACTAATGAACAAGTTTCCATACAGAAACCAAAGTGTAACAACGACACGTTTTAGGGAGGTCATGTGCCTGACTGTTTCTTGGACTGGAGCTGATTTAACCCCTGTAACACCTCAATGTGTCATTTTACACTTTTTACTCTTTTTTTTTGGTACCAATTCAACAAACAAGATGTAATATGTTTAACATTGAGCTCTAGAGGTGCTGGTAGGACGGATTCTGTTACCTTTGGACAGGACCAGTCTGCTGTTTCCAGTCTTTATGCTAAGCTAAGCTAACCAGCTTCAGTGGCGTTGATATTCTCATCTAACTCTCATTTAGACAGCGAATGAGCGCAGTTCACAAAATGTCAAACAATGTCTTAAATTTAGGCTGAAGTGTTTTTGACGTCCTCTGCTGTCTTCGTCCAAAAAGAGTCCCCACTGCTCATGTGAGGGTGTTATTTCTGGCCGGCCTTTTCTACCAGTTTATACAGCTGATTCTAATACCACCCTCCCTCACTCGTCTCATGTCTTTGAAACAGTCCCACAGTTTCCTCTCTCCCAGGCCTCAGTACATTCACCACCATACCACCAAGTATTTATCTCCTGGCCCTTTAGGGTTGTTTTTAAGTTTCTCTTTCACTTAAGGAAACAATGTATACCTGAACTATAACACAAAGTGTATGTGCAAATGAAAAAGATCATGATTTGGATGATGGCAACCATTTTATATATTCCTCTCTATAGATAAACGTATGTATTTCATGTAACTAGACTTGGGTAGTATACTGTATATTCACTTCTGCTTCATGGGCGTTCTCTGGGTAGGTAAACACTGTAGGTCTCGTCATGTTGTGATCTCAAAATAGATGAAGAAAAAAAAAAAGATTTGGTAGTGTGCTTTTTTTCCCACAAACATCCCACTACTTTTGAAATGTACATTTGTTTTTACGTAAGGCATATCTGTGCTTTTATTTTCTAGGTTTTTATTTCCTGACTTGAACACTGGTTCTATCTTGGCGAGGCTTTTTGAGATTGTTGACTTGGTCTGAACTTTTTTGCAGTATAACTGTGATTTGAAAACATGGAGCTCAATGCTGCTAATGCTTACTACTGCTTCAGAGTTTGTAGTTCCCACCTTAATTTTTCCTTTTTCTGTACTAATAAGCAAATCTTATTAAACGTAGTTGTATGACGCTGTGAAACCTTGTGGTCTTTGGCATGGCATCCTCTCCCTCTGTCACCTCTGTCCCCTGTTAATGCACCAGACCTTATAAAAAGCTGACCAGTACTAACTTGCATTGGCAACTTACTGTCTTTACATGCACACACCTGTCCTTTCACTATAATGGATTCATTCTTCAAATTCGGGTGAGGCAAAGCAACAATAATGAACGGGTATTTGATGAAACAATCTCCGCACAAAGACCATTTAGTAGCCGTTCTGGAGCTTTCCGTTGGATCTTCATGGGCAGATGCACACAGAGTTCAGATTTTGTGGAAGCAAACAAAAGACGGAAGCATAGGAATCCTGTGAAGACTACACTGAAGTACTTTACTTTGAAAACCCATCTGTCTGAATTTATATGGTTTGAATTCTGACATCAAAATTAAAGATTAAACAATTCCTAACTTACACATGGACTACAGGTGATAATCAAAGCAGACCTCGTCTCCGTCACATGATCCAAGAAACATGAGCTCAGATAAGTGACTGAAACCCTGCAGCCATGACTTTTAGATCTGAAAATGTGAGCCTGAAATAACAATTTGAAAACTTGACCTTCTTGACTGAGAATTTCTAAGAATTTGTAGAACAGACTACAGTTTAAGTCATACATTTGTTATTTCAGTTAACACTAAACAGTAAGTATTCAGCAGTGTTTACACAAAGCACACAAAAGGTGTTCAGTTGCTTTTAAAATTATTTTAGCCTCTTTGCTCCCATAAAATTTCCACTTTCCTGAGCATTCAGGACATCTCGTCCATGTCAGCTTAAAAAGTGAGATTTAAACATCGTTGTTGACCTTGGAAACTGAAGTAGACAAAACAATATCACCACAAGGTCCATATAGCGCTTTAAGTTAAAACTCTGAAGCTCTACTTTAAGGCCGACGTGGATGAGAAGAGTGAAACGACTCCAGCTGCTGCTGTGTGCATCTTCCTTTGTTCTCCCTTGCTGTGACGGTAATAAAGCAACAAGTGAGCCTTAAATACGTTTGTGTCAGAAGAAGACTAATGTGACCATATTTCAGGTTATTATTCTTTGATGTACAACACCACCATCTACTGGCCGTCACCGTTCACATGCAAAAGATTAAACACAAAATAGATGTGTAGTTCAAAGGTTTGTAGAATTTATTACAATTCCACAATCATAAACAAAAAGCAGCAATTGCAGAAATATGTACAAGTCTATTTTTTTTTTAAAATACTTGTGGCAAGTTTCAGGTACCAGTTTCAGATTGGCCCCATGTTCAGTCTCTGTAACGCTGCTTCAAGTGCAGTGCTTTCCCGGCTCTTTTAAACCACATGTGGAGGAGAACGCAGTTTCTGTCATTCCTCCACAAAGCCTTGATGTCTTCATGTCACGTGACCAGACTCTCCTGGGGCGAGTAGACACTACCGCCATCTGGAGGTTGGGAGTCATCTCGTCTCCGGAGCTCAGCAGTCACTGGTGTGCTATAAAAAGCCAGTACACCGTGTTGACATCCTGTGGTTTCTCCAGCGAGCTCGTCACTCTCGCCCAGTTTCCCTTTGTTGTACAAAAACATGTTTGTATCCATCAGTCAGAGAGGCGTTGACAAGTTGCTGGGTATCCCAGTGCTTTTAAGACCTTGTGATGGGNNGGGGGGGGGGGGGGGGGGGTAGTGAGGCAAACAGGGAGGGAGGTGCAACTGAGTAATGGTGTCTGAAGCAGTTAACACTGTATTCTCTGGCAATGCAATGTGGGAAGGAGGGCAGCGGGCTGTAAAAGTAGCACCTGGTGCTGGAACTATAAAGGATAAGTGTAATTAGGATACGCTGTACGCTTCAGAGACTACAGCAACATCAGTGTGCACAGCGGGGGCGCTGCTGTTTACCAATACAGATGATGTCAGTTAACAGTGGAGATGTCTGTCGCAGATGGTACATCATACCATTAAACCCTCTTAGCAGGTTTGTAAAGGGTTCGTTGGAAACCAGGGAGGTTTCTCAACAAGGAATTATGGGATGTTAAGAAATATCAGAAGAAAATGTTTTAGCATACGATACCTATCGATTTGAAAGCACTAAAAACTGATTTAGTTCTCGTTTTGGCTGTGTTCTATTTTGTTATTGCTTTGGGACTAACTGTTAGCGACCAGTGACTCCTTGAAGTTAATTTCTGTAAGGTTGGGGGGGGGTCGGTTCGGGAGCGGGGTCTCCTCAGGCTCTGACCAGGTCCTGCTTGGCCAGCAGATGGAAGCTGTGTGGGGGGGCCGTGTACAGTGCTACTGCAGGGAGTGCATGAAGTTGTCCAGGTTGTACTCGGTGTCGTACTGCTGCTGGTCCCATAGCTCTCCCAGGCCGTCCAGCACAGACTTAATGGAGGACTTCCCTGAGGTCGACGGCGAATGCTCACCCTTCTCACCCTTCTCGCCCTGAAACACATTTACATACACGACAGTTCAGGCAGGATGTACACAATGTTCTACAGTAACAACACAAACACTACCTGGGTTTGTACGCCTCATCTCACCATGTTGGTATCATGATATATCTTTACATTCCTACAAGATGGTTCTTTAATAAAACCCCAATCATTAAATGGGTCCTTAACGGTGTGAATCAGTGACTCTGCTCTGTTTGTCTGAACTTAAATGTCACTGCAGTTCCTGGTTCAGATGAAGCTGTATGCTACACAGTGCTGAAACAAGCCGAGTAAGGCGGGCCCCATTCATTCACCTGGATAATGACAGCCGACGCTCAGGCCTTTGTCTCTACACCTGGTATTAAAATGCACTCTGCTTATCTTGATTCTGGCCCCGCTGTGATGAGATCTCAATATGCAAATTAGCTGGGCTGCGGACGTGTTGCAGGACAAGGGAAGGAAAGCCATGGATGGACCTCATTCATTTAGCACTTTTTGCAAGAGAAGACCTGCTAGCTACAGCCACTTGTAGCAGGACAAGGCTTTCAATTAGCAACTAGATGTGGTCGGGATAATGCAGTAACACTGCATTAATGTGGGTTTTTCCTATTCCAGGATATCCGGAGTCATCATCAGATATCGTATGTTAATACTCGTATACCAGGTGTAACTGTGGTCCCTGCCCACCGTCTATGCAGAAGTCATTAAATAGCAGTGGTCTCTGGTTTTCTGAGTAACATCACTAAATTTAGATGAAGTTCTGCAGAATAGAAAATACCAAATTAATGCTTTGTCTTTAATTTCAGTTGTTGGGTTTCTGAGCAATTTTGTAGCTTTCATAGTTAGACTGAGCGATTTGTTTCTGTGTGTATATTTTTTGGTTGGGTGAAGAAGATGTGGCCACTTTCAACATCTATGGATAAATAATAATTAGATAATAAAAAAAGATCAGATGACACCCTCCTCAGTCTGGTTTCTGAGTTTCTGTGACAGAAACTCCTGGGGGGTCTCACCTTGTCCAGAGTGAAGAGGTTGAGGAGCTGGCCTGTTTCCATGCTCTGCAGGCTGGCGTTGTCTTGGCTGATGACAGTGTTGGCGATGCTCATCTTGAATTTCTGCAGACCCATGATCTTCTCCTCCAGCGTGCCTCGCGTGATCAGCCTGTACACGTTCACGACCCGTTTCTGCACGATGACAACACAATGTATCAGATGCGTAGGACTGCCAATCTAATTTCACTTGGTTCATTTTGCACCACTGGTTTCAGACAAGAGCCGTGTCACACAATCCAAGGCTGCTCAAAGGCCACATTTAATAATGCATCAAGGAAACACTGATGAACGAGTGGGGAAGCAACAGAAGCATCTTGAATTCAGCATCATAAATGTAACTGGGATATATGCTAACAGTACCTGTCCTATCCTATGGGCACGATCCATGGCCTGCAGGTCCCTCATGGGGTTCCAGTCATGTTCCACAAACACCACGGTGTCTGCACCTGTCAGGTTCAGACCCAGACCACCAACATGTGTGGTCAGCAGCAGCACGTCAATGGAGGGGTCATTGTTAAACCTGAAATACAGAGGGAGCAAAGCCAGGGAGAAGAATTAGACTCTGGTGGCAGCTCACATTCACAACAACAGGCAGCACTGAGCAATACAAAGTGACACACTACTCAATCCACAGACCTGGAGACGATGGAGTGGCGCAGGCCTGCCTGCACGCTGCCGTCCAGCCTCAGGTAGGTGACTGAGGGCAGTTTGGGTTTCAGCAGGTCGTGCTCCACAATATCTAGCATGCTCTTTAGCTGACAGAAAATGAGCACACGATGCTGGGCCACCACTGCCTCTGTGCCCCCCTCTGAACCGCCACTGCCACCAAGACCACAGTCCACCAGCAACTAGAGAACAGAAGACACATCAGAGCCAGTGAGACAGTCGAGGTCGACATTACAGTTAACCCAGTGAAAGGGTGATTTCATGGGAACAATCTGGTCAGGAACGAAATGCTTGTTCCTTTCTTTTCAGCGTTCTTTTTCAAGCATATCACTTTTATAAAAACTCTTATGTAAAGAAAAATGTACAAAATCCACATTATTATGAATTATGTAAAACATATTCCAAACTGAGAAGACGTGTATCTGCTCTAATAGCTGACTTCCCAGGACATTACCTGTTTGAGAGCGGAAAGTTTGGGCGCGTGCTGAATGTCCCGCAGGTTCGTGTTTTGACTCGTCAGCTGCTCAGTGATGCGTTTGTACTCTGGATGCTGTGGAGTCAAGACCAGGCTCGGGTGATTACACAGTTTCCGCAGGTACTGCAGCGCCTGAAAGGTAGAAATAAAAAAATAAAAAAGGTAAATATTACTGCATACAGTAAGTATTATAAATTAATGCTTTGACTCCAAACCACCACACATCTGCTCCACAGAACAAACGTTTCATTCCAAATAGAAATGTATTGTGTGAAATGTTCACAGGCACGTGGAGCGACAGGTGGCAGTGATGCCCTCAAGATATGCAGCAATGTGCCAATAAAAGCAGGAAAGGAATGAGGGAGGCTACTAGTAAGTGGATATGGGTCTGTGCGTGTGTGTGTGTGTGTGTGTGTGTGAACACAGGGATGATGTTAATTTTATTCATAAGAATCAGCAGCACGCAGTTGTTATGTGCTCCGATTGCAGGGATGAAAATATGACACTGTGTATGTGTTTACTAGCAAATTTGAAAAATACATTTGCTTGGGTTGAATTCTATAAAAGAAACGTAATGACCACGGGGATGTGGGTCCCAATGCTGGTACAAAAAGAAAAAAAAATAGTTTTGGAAATGTTTTAGGAAGAAAATGCATTCAACACTTTCACTTCCTCTTAAGGACACACACACTGCGTTTTGGTAAATAAGACAGAATGTAAACAATAACTTCTCCACAGGGCAACTTTAACTGTTGCTGCAGAGCAAGTTCAGATTTGAAACTGGCATGAGATAAATGTCCAGAAACCAATGTGTACCTGGAAGACATGTCCTGTGGCCTTCAGTTTAGGTTTTTCCTCCTCTTCCGTCGAGGCTGTAGAGATGCTGTCCTCCACACTGGCCTTGGCTCTAGACTTAGCAAAGTCTTCATATAGCTGAACCTGCAGGTCGAGAGAAAGCACACCAGGTTGGAACACTGAGGCTGAGCTGTTATCCAGTTGTAGGTCCTGTGGAAAACTGTCACTACTTCTAACCTACAATTAGCATGCATCTCATTTACAAAGCACTAGACTTCCTTTGAAATACCTTTAGCTGGCCTGTAACATTAGCTACTTTTAGTCAACAGAAGACAAGTTTAATATCCCAGATTACTGTAATAATCTAACGGCAAGAAAAATTAAAATGCAAAGCTGGGGCACTTTGAATAATTCATTATAATAATATTAAAAAGAGAGCAGTGCTAGGGAATTTGGTACAGTTAATGATACTGACAGCGTGTGGGTACTGGTATTGCCTATTAGATAGTTGAAGGGGGCCACAGGTACCTGTAGAGGACTCAGGTTGCAGTAATAGTCCTGAATTATTTTAGGAGGAAGGTCCTGCAGGACATCCTCCTTCATCCTCCTCAGAAGGAACGGTAGCACCTGTCGATGTAAGGCCTCCATCGCCAGGACACCTGGAGGGAGAAACCAATATTAACCACAATTAATGTCCTAATCCTAATGAGATTCTTCATAGAAAAAAGAAGTTATGAAAAGTAATATTCAGTTAGAAATAAAATAAAAAAGGCAGAGAGCTGGTATACCTGCTTCCTGTTCCCGTGAGGAACTTTTGGCGTCACGGCTGGCCAGGATGGGTTTACCATAGCGAGCAGCAAACTGGCGTTCCGTTCCAAGGAAGCCCGGCATGAGGAAGTCAAACAGCGACCAGAGCTCCAGCACATTGTTCTGGGGATAAAGCAGAGGAAAAAATATTCATGCTCTGACTAGTAAACATACAAGGAAAGAAGTACAATTTCCAAAATCTAAAAAATTGTTATTTATGATAACTGTATGACAATATACAAACATACAAAAAGACAGATTAAGATACATTTAAGATTAGATAGAAAAAATGTTCCAGTCATATCTATTTGATATACAGACGGAAGCTCACCTGAATGGGCGTTCCTGACAAGATGATCCGGTAGTTGGCAGCCAATTGCTTAATGGCTTTGGAAAGTTTGGTTTTCCCGTTCTTGATGACATGACCCTCATCAAGAATACAGTAGTTAAATTTTATATTTCTAAGGGCAGAAAAGAGAAGAAGTTTGTATTAGAAAAACTGAGCATCTACCTCAGAAACACAAAGGCAGATATTAAAATTAGAATAACACCCACCTAAAAAAGTCGATGTCATTCCGTACAACATCGTAAGAGGCTACTATGAGATTGTGTTTTTTCACTTGGTGTTGCAACCTGGAAAAGCAAATGTGTATTTAGGGTAATGAATTTAGGAAATAAATTAAACACACGTGTGTTTGCGCAAAACCAAAAATAAAAAGCGCTTTGTTCTCCTCAACAGTTTTGTTCCATTGTACTTATTCAGTTTAGAAAACCTAAAACCTTAAGGACGAGGACATAAATCATTTTCTGTATGCTGACAGGGTTGCTGTAAAGTCTGAGTAAGCTTTACCGCATTCGTTCTGTAGGAGGCCCAGTGTAGTGCAGTGGGTGGAGGAACTCTTTGGTGCAGAACTTGCCCACTTCGTCCACCCAGTGGCCGGTCAGTGTGGGGGGACAAACCACCAGAGAGGGCATTGGGCTGCAGTCTGCGGCCTTAGTCTTGGCATACTCCTGTGCTCTGAACAGACATCAAACATACAGCAGCCTGAGTCAAGTTTACTTACTCAACACTTCAAACATAAAAACAATGTTTAAAGAACAAAAGATCAAAATGAGATCAAAGAAGTGCATCCAAACTGGGACAAACACTGTTTATATTGAAAATGTCAAAGCCTGCTTGTCTATTGTTTGACAGCACAGGATTATTGTAGTAATAAGAGAATAGCATCTAATACAAGACCTTTTCATATTCAGTGTTTTACATAACAAGCTAACATTTTGAGGGAAATTCACTTCTTTTAACAAAAGCTATTTAATTGTGGCTCAATTCATGTGTTGACATGCAAAAAATGAAAATTGATCATTTTAATACATGTAGATGAAGAATTAATTCTCATGTAGAGCTGTCTGCATCACCAACTGTTTACTAGTAGTATATTCATATCGATCACACACACACACACACACACACTTATACCATATAAACAGCTGCTTAAATGGATAATATTTCTACTCATATTTATTATTGAATTATACATTATCTTTACAAGTCATACAAATATGAAGTTTCTATAGAGGGAACAATCATATTAGTGATTGTGCCTCTGAATGGTAGAATATATATGGTATCAAGGTAACGCTGTAGAACTGCTGTCTGGACTACCTGAGGTAGGTATCTCCTGCCAGAATGCAGATGGACTGCAGCGTCTTGCCGAGGCCCATGTCATCACACAGGATCCCATGCAGCTTGTATTTGTTCAGGAAGGACAGCCAGTTCACTCCATCCTGTAAGATGACACAAAGACACACACTGAACACACCAACATAAACATCTGCTCACTAAAACAAGACAGCAGTTGGTTTCAGTAACATTTCCCCCTCAGTCAGTTAAAGTTGAGTGGTTGAGGACCAATAGTAGTAACAATGGTAGCAGTATTTAAACTGGATTTCTGCACTGCTCCGTTAAAGAGATGGATAGCTGGTCTCAGCAGAGCTGCCAGCATGTAGCATTTCTAGAAGCAACCTGCACACATAACATATCTCTATTCGACAGCTTTAACATTTACTCTGTCAAGAAAACCATTTGTTGTCAGAGTCTGTTTCTTTACTTCCTGCCAGCCTGCAGCAGTTAAAGCAAAACATCGTTCCTGAACCTGGCAGGAAAATGATCAGACTCGAGGTGAAGAGGCAGCTCAGGCACAAAACACCAAAGTGTTCAAGGAGTTGTTTCAATGTATAAATACAGGTTGGGCTTCCGTCTGCTGCTTGAGGAGGAATCGCAGAGACACAGTGAACCCTGACAACTGACACACACCTGCTGGTACTTCCTGAGCTCTGCCTTAATGGGCACAGGGATCTTGTAGTTCTCCAGTTTTCTGCCATCTAGTAGTTGCTCCAGGAAGTGCCGTTCTCTGGCCTTCTGGCGGATCAAGTCAGCTGACATGGCTGGAGGGTCCGGTATTCCTGCCTGGTAGACAGGAGAGAGAAAAAACATTTTATCCTGTGTTCTAGCAGTGAGTTATCTAATCTGGATCCAGACTCTTAACTTTGCATAAAACATTCAGCCTTCTGTTGGTGTGCTCCTACCTCTAGGGGCAACAGGCGGATAAGTGTAGCAAAGCACTGTGTGGCCATGAAACGGATGCTATCGCTGGGGTCACTCATTCGGCCCAGCACGGGTACTACGAGCAGCACAATGTAGGGCACAATGTCCACATCCAGCTGCTCCATGACACCTGGAGGGATGTTAGTCAAGGACAGTACCGTACAGAAATAACAGCAACTACAAGGTCAACGCTTTAATCCTTTAAAACTCAGAAGCAACATCCTCACACTGCTTGCACCCTAACAACTTTAAAAAAGCATTACCGCATATTGTGCAATGAAAGAAAAATTTATCTATAGTGGTGTTATCTGTGAAGGATACAGGCCAAAGCCTCGATGGCGCCCTCCTGTTTGGTGCAGTCTTCAATAGCAGCTAACCAGGGGAGTACACACTCCAGGAAACTGTTCATGGTTTCCAGCATGGCTATCTTACTGAGCACGCCCACGCAGCGCGCAGCCATGTGGCGCACCGCTGTGTACGGGTGCTGCAGGCAGGTGAACAGATGGGGAATGTGCTCCAGTAACTAGAGAAACAAACAAAACAGGAGAGACACAATAATTGACTTGCATTGTAATTGTTGTTTAAAAGATCTTTTTATGAACTTGTCCTGGAAATCCCTCCCTCCAGGCTAAATTCTGTTCTATAACTGTTGTATATATACACTTTTTGAGACGAACCCTTTGAAACCAATAATTAACAGTTAAGTCTTTATATGATGCAATTATCATCAGTGGTAAGACTTGAGTAAAAACAGTAGCACAGTCTTGGTGGATCAGTCTTACCAAAGGTTTGAGTTCAGCAGCCATCGCCCCAGCCATGACCTCCAGCACTTGTAGAGAGTTGACCAGTTCCTGAGCTGCAGTGTCTCCCCTCTCCAGCTGAACCTGCCTATCTAGAACACAGTGATACAGAGTATTGACTACATACATAAATCTGAGTCCTGGATTATACTGAGAGCATTATCTTGGTGAAATAAAGTGAAGTGAATTGATATAAATGTGCAAAGTGCTATGAATCATCCTGAAACAACTACAAATTCAAACAAATGTTTGCATCAACAACGCTAGAGTTCATATTATAATACTTGCCGGTAGTTTTTTTTTTTTTTTTTTTAAACGCACTAAAAACAGTTTAAGACTGGTTGCCGTGTTGTTACTGTACTAATATCCAAGATCAAAATCAACATACCAATGCGTTGATTTTCAGTCACCACTGTTCTCAGCGGTCCCACTGTGTTCTCCCACAGGTATGGCAGAGACTTGGTGAGGTCTGTGCCAAAGTGCCTGGCAACAGTTGTTAGGGAGAACTCTGCTCCACGTCTCTGAATAAGAAATGGCTTCTTGCTCTAAAAAACAAACAAACAAAAAAAACGACATTAAAAAATAATAATAATAATTAAAAAAAAAAAATGGGGGGTGTAAACACAACCTGTTGTCATTATGACCTGAATGTGAGGAAAATGTATTGTAGCCCTTGTACCTCATCATTGTCCGTGCTGATGGTGCTGCCAGGAGGAAGCTCAGTGGTGGGGGTCTTTGGGGCTTTAGGGGCTGGCCCTCTCTTACTGGTGATGGCAAATGCTGCCCTCTGATGACGGTAAAGGGTGATGATGCCTCTGGTTTTGTTGACCATGTGATGCATACCATCTTTCTCCAACCCACCGCCTAATGGGATGAGAAATATGGAGAGAGAAATATGGTCAATAGCATGCAAGTACTTCTTCACATGACACAATTATTGGAGGCTCTGTTGCATTTTTCATTCAACAAATACAGAAAAAGAAAGTATTTATTTTTAAGTCACTCTCATAAAACATCAGTGGAATGATTAAAATGTCAATGAAAACCTGGTTTTGGACACCCTGCTGGTAGATGACAAGTTGAGTAACATTATTGAAAATATGCCCAAACTTCAACAACTCTTACCTTTGATATTTTCCTGTGTGGGGGGTACAGGGCAAGCAGATGAGGGTGTGACTGCAGAGTCCACGCAGGCTGAGGCACAGAGGTTTTTGATAATCTTGGGGTTGGGGCACGGCAAGCGTCCAGCACACTGCTGTAGCAGTTTGGCTATAAAAGAAGCCGCATATCCCTGGATCAGGGTGTTCTCCTCCCTCTTGATGACCTCCATCAGAGGCCTGACCAGTGGATTGAGCTTGTCAGGAAGCACCTGCAGGTTAATCACTGCACAAGCTGTGAACATGTGGACACGCAGATGCAGCTGCTGCCATTCTGTGTTGGTCTCCATCACTGTTGCTTGAGCTTGCTGTCGTTTACTGTCCAGTGCCTGCCACTGTTTGGACTTCACGTTCAGACCCGCTGTTGACTCTGTGAAGATGGTGGTTACCTAGGCAACAAGCAGAGGGGAGAATGTGAGTGACTGGAACAAGAGCGATCGGTTACAGAGTGTAACATCCATTGGCCTGAGAATCAGCTGGATACTAAACCATTACCAAAGCTGTCAGCTGAGGAAATAAAGACTGGGACAGAAAACAAATTACAGTTGGATGATATGAAAAACCTTCAAAGACTTAATTGGCATAATAAAGAAGAACCAAACTAAATTTGCAGTTTAATTAAGAACAAGAATAAACTGGTAGTGTTCCCACAGCACAAAGTACAGTTTTGGAGGGTCCTTCAAACACAGGAAGGGCAGTCATTGACTTGAGGTCACCCATTACAAGATGCAGTTTGTGGGTTCAAATGTCTGTTCAAGAGAGTATATTATGTGTGTGTATACTAGTTTTATGTATATATATACTATATAAATACTAGTATGTATTTGGTTCATTAGTGAATATCCTCTTTTCTAACTAACTCGATCAGATCTCATTTTGAATCTATTCTATATCTAATATTAATTTTGAAATAATTTTGTGTGCGGTTGGACCTACCAGGTTCACTAGCTTGGATCAATAGTAGAAAACGGCTACAATTGAGGCGGTCTTGCAGGTGGCTATTTGGGAATCAGCTAGGGCAGGTGCAATGAGCTGCCTTGCACTCATTCTGCCGATGCGTGTGAAGGGAATGCAATCTCAATCATAGTACAAGTGCTCTCGATAGAAGGAATGGCCAGAAGACGGAGGCTGCACCATGGGGGATGACACCACTTTGAGGCCTGAAAGGAGAGCAATATGTATTAGACCTTTTAAATGGTTGATTCTATTAATTTATACTACACAAAAAACAAAAACTGGGTCTTAATCTGTAATACTTTCACAACAATCGAAACTGTGCTCTAAGCTTCACCTCTGCAGGGCGCCACTCCAGAGCGCACCAGAGACACAGCTATGCGGCATGGCAGGGCAGACTTGGTTCTTTGGGGGGAGGTGGAAGGCAACAGCTGGCCAAAGACTCAGGCTGCGCGCGATTCGCTGAGATGCAGCATTGCAAGCTGGAGGCTCACATGATTACACCGAACAGAGCCCCCAAGCAATCTGGATTACGAGATTACAAAGAGGCAGGGAAACACTGTCATAACTGTTACTCTTTATCTGCTTTTTATTGTAACTCGGGCTCATTTCTTTTACGAGAAAATCTCTTAGTCACCTAAGATCAGGACTGATAACTTTCTTTTCCTTCCAATCAAAACGATTACTTGGCAGCCATGAAGCCGAGCTTCGGAACCACAATAGCCCTTGTGACTGGGGTCATCTGCCACCGTCTCTGCACCTGCCTATATACTCCTGGACCTTCATTCACCTGATTGGCCCCTAGGCGTGGCCTTATTGTGTGCCAGCCTTATCCTGTGGAATTAACACAACATTAATTATTTAAGTTAACTAAACAAAACAATATAAACAAAGAAGAAAAAAAACTACACAATGTCACTGGACAATGTAACGGCAGGCTTGTTGCCCATCACAACATTTCTCTCATTTCTCCTGTTTCCCATTCTCTACTTGGAATTTTTCACTTAGCGTTATAACCACAATTCTATTATTGCGCCTCCGCACACCAACCCCGGATTATCGGCGGCTCGGACGTCGTCGGACAGTCAGGTGAGCGTCGGTGGGCTCGAGTCGGTTCGGTGCTGTCCGTTTTGCCGTCGTCAGTCGGCGGTCGGCCTTCATTCTTGGCCGATTCGACATGTAGAATTGGCCACTGCGCCGTCGGCGTCAATGACCAATCTGATTGGTTGATTGAGCTAAGGCCCCTTTGAAGGGTAAAAAGCCGAATCAGGTGAGTGCACGGGAGAAAACCGGACGTCAGTGACGGATGGCTAAACAACGTCAGTAGTTCTTATTATTAGCCATCGTTGATTTTCCGTTCAGCGAGTAATGACAATAACCGCATTCCTTGTTGACTTACTATCAACACTCTCTGAGAAACAATTGACTGCGGCGACAGCGTTGCTCTGTGTTTACTAGGTCTACAGCTTTTTTGGGCGACAAACACAGATTAGGCGCCGCCTGCGCTTGTTGATGGCGGACGTACTTACGCTCGGCATGCGCAGAACCGTACGCCTCCACTTTGCGTCGCCGTGTTGGTGTGTTCGGGAGGCACTTTTTTTGACGACTCGAGGATTACGGGGAGGCGGACTGATTTCAGGTTCGACTGCTTTCTGCCGGCACGGGTCGGCCGTCGGTTGGTGTGCGGAGGCCTTTAAACTGGCTATTAAGTTACTTAAGGGTTGAACTTTGCTTCTCTGCTGTTTGTTAAGTTCCTCCTCTGGACTGTTCAGGTTGCTAAAGCACCTCTTGCTCAAACAAACAGAATCTTAACAGGCATGGCCTGTTTGTCTGTTACCCTCACCCTGTCTGCTACTCTGTCGCCTAGCAACCTCAGAGAGGCTCATTGTTTTGTATGCTGTCTTGAGGTCTCTTGCATTATTTGCATGAACTATATCATTTGCACATAATTATGTCATACATTTACTTTTTCTTTAGTTATTTAGACTTCTCTTTGATTTGATGTTTTACATCAGATGTGTTGCATTGGTATATAACATTTATAGCAATTTACACATTTGAAAAAAAACAACTGACCTTTAGATTAGTTTTCCATAACCTTAAATATAAAATATTATTAAACCAAATAGCAGCTATTGTTCTTTGAATAGGGAATCCATTTTAATTTGAAGACATAACCACAACACAGCTGAGAATAGAATATAACAATACTTATTCTTCAGCCTTATTTGGTCCCTACTGCAGCAACCCTGGTTCAATTCCAACAGGCATCAATTTGCTGCATGTCATCCCTTCTTAACCTCTACACTGTCCTGTCACTTTTCAGCTACTCTATCAAATAAAGGCAATAAAAGGCCCCCAAAAAGTCTTTAAAAACTAAAAGTGTACAACCTTGCAGCGGGCCTTCACTTCCAGCAGCATGTTCAGGTCTATGGGAATGTGTGAGGCCTGCATCATGAGACAGAGCCAGGCACCCATCCATGGACAGCTGGCTGCTACCACGTACTGCTGGGGGGCCTGAGACAGCAGCTCCATCCACACCTGCAGTGACACACATAATTAACAAAACTTATGAAGGGAACTGAAAGAAATGTCTGTATTGTTTCACTTCCAATGATCAAACTCAGGCTGTCTTAGTAATTTCCCCCATGAGATGAAGCGGTAGCGTGGGTGATGCAACAAACCTTTTGAACCAGTTCCAGGATTTCCTCATTGCTCTCCAGTATGCAGGACTGAAAGATGTGCCGGAGCATATCTTGTAGTATGGGGTTGATCCACAATGCACAGCTCTGAAGAACAAAAAACATGAAACACTGCCTTAATGTGTGCGCAACACATTCACTTAATTGTTGAGTCTTGTGTATAAAGACTGGGTATTAATGTAATATATGGCAGAGTACTTTTATAGAAACGGCTCAAATCAAATTTACCTGGTCAGCTTTAGACAGCAGCGTGAAAAGGGTTTCCAGCGCTGCCCGTCTTACTGATGATATAGTATGCCTCAAGAACGGCCAAACTCGAGGGACCAGGACTGTTAATGACTGCTGCATGCTAGAGTGGACAACAAAGGGGGTCAATATAAATACACAGTCAGGAAAGACCCATGCAGGAGTACTAAAGAACTGAATAAAATACCACCTTATTACAAAAAGGTATACACTTGACCCCAGCCAATACTAAATTATCAGTGCTCATCTGTGTTTGTAGCAAGTTTGCTCAGTAGTGGGCGTGCAGTCGGATTGTGTGCTTTTATGTAAATAAAGTTCAAATGAAGTTCAGCCAACCTTGGAACAGTGCTGATACGTGTAGTAACACACAACCACAGAATACAGAAGAGATCATTTGCCTACCTTCAGCTTTTTTTTTTTTTAAAACCACACATATTTTAAGGGCTTTTAATGCCTTTATAGATTTAATTTTAGGTTCAATTTAAATCTCTAAATCACAGTATAAGGGTTTTTTTTTTTTTTTTTTTACAGTCTGCCATCATACAAACACCCCGCAAACATCCCTGAGACTGACCTGCACTGTCGGACCTGCGTGTAGGTGAGCAGCGAGGACAGCAATGTCATTATGCTGTTGGTGGAAGCAGTGAGGTCGTCCAGGTCCAACAGAGCATCCCATAGTGTGTTCACGATGAATGGTACCTGAAAGACACACACACCTCCAAAATGAGGACAATGTGTAACTTCCTACAGATGACAGACTTCAACACAAGTTAAACTCAATAGGATATATAGTAAAAAAGGCCCTACTATTGCCTTCCTGACCTTGTTAGGCAGTAGCTGTACCAAGCCGTCGACCACAGGGATGAGGGATGAAGCTGCCACGGCCCTGACGTCATCATCTAGGTCCTGTAGCCCCACAGTGACAGCAGGGAGCACCCGCGGCAGTAAAACAGAGATCAGATCCTGAAAGACGAAGAACAGACGGATGAAGATCAGCACAGATGTACGGGTATTAGATCAGAAAGAATGGCCTTTAATGACACAAGGACCACATATGCTTGTAGGCTGACATACACATATCCTTCCACCCCCACAATTTATATTCATGACCATATGGCGTTCATATCGAATACATTGTAGAACCCTGCTATGCTTTTTTTTTTTAAACAGCTCATCATATACACACAGAACAGGTGGTACCTGTCGAACTGCCAGGGCATACTTGATCCCGAGCAGGCCTCCATGACGGACCTCCCACTGGTCTTCTGTTAGCAGCTTCAGCAGGACGTCTACTGTCATGGAAACACCAGTTTCATTCATGTGGCGAAGGGCCACACCGAGAGTCTGGGCACACGTCTCCCTGACAGGAGCCACCACCTGGTCAAAGGAGAGAGACAGATATACAGGATAAGTGCAAAAACAGGGAATGTCATAAATTTAGCTGTTATCTAGTTACACGCAGTTTCCCCAATATGTGGCTGATATTGGTCCAGTAAGCCACCATTATTATGACATATGATGCCATTTGATTACACATTTGTTACACTGTGATATAGATTTTTATAACAGTGTCATTATGATTTTTGTTTCACCTCCTATAGACATAGTTGTAGGAGGCTGTCATTACGCAAGCCTTCACACCAATAAAACCCTACACAAGGTCAATTCAATGATTACTTCCTCCTCATTTATAAAGGGTGCAGGCTGTGGTTTTGTATTACATTTTTCTGGTTGACATGCTGCAAGTAGTAGAGCAAATGTTTCACAAGGAACTGTAACACACAAATGTCTTAAAGAAGGTCACTGTGTCTTTTTTAGACTAATACAAAACCACTTTAGCTAGAGTTGAATGGTCATACTATGCATCAGAACGGTTGACACACAATTACTATATTTAGGAGAAGTAAGTGTGAATGCCTTGCACAAATATAGAATGGTTTGTTATATTTGCTCCTTTACTATGTTGCATGTCTCAGATATAAAATCAGTCAGTCATTATTTTTTGCATCATCTCACACATTGAGTTCAGTTGTCCAGCAGGAAACCCACCTCATCCGATACAAAATCTCCAAAGCGGTCGAGAGCGAAGACACAGAGCAGCCGGATAACCAAGTCCTCTATCCACTCCTGATGCTGCCGCAACATCTAAACCAAGACATCAAATGGTTCATATCATGTTTAATTCTCAACAAAATGTAAAAAAAACCTGAGGGCAGAGTTAAGCTATACCTGTTCTGCAGTGCTGCCCACCAGCTTCCCACCCCCAGCACCATGGGACTTGAGGATTTCTCTAAGACCGGTGCCTGCACCATGACGAACCTGTAAACAACCACACGCAATACAATTTTATTGATTCACATTATTTTGCAGTGGTCATATAAAGCGGTTGTTAAAATTGAGGCGTCAGCACCCCTTTGTTTATAGTTGGATCACAGAGTGCCTTTAACTCAGCCCAACCCCTCATGTTCAAATGCTATCATGTAATTTAAAAATGCTTTGTTTTTACCTCCCATGAAGGATTGAAGAGATCATTGCAGAGCTCTTCACAGAAGCTCTCCAGAGGCCACTCATGTATCTAAAGACAAACACATGACAGATCATTAAAGAACTGTTAATCATGTTTTTTTTTTGTCATATATTGTAATTAAAGGGTTCAGGACTTTTATTTTTTATTTTTTATTCCTTACCTCCTCTAAAAGACTGGAGTTATCGGGGACGTTGTCAATTAGGACTTTATGCTCTGTTGCCGGTTGGTCAATAACTACATTGGTGGTTTTCCTTCGTTTCTCTTCAGGTTCACCTTCAAAACTGTCATTACTGAAGTGTGGAGAGATCACAAACGGAGTCGTTTTATCTTTTGAACTAATCTCGTATGTTGATGCTAAGAAAGCACATTTGGCTCTATATTAAGAAATCAATATGTATATGATTTCAACTGAAGTCTGTCTTTTAAAAGAAAAGATGATCCAAGTCTGTCAACGTAATCAAACCAGGCATATTGCAGGTACACGTATGCATAACAATCTCACCTCTTTTCATTTGGATCCACGTCTCTGGATCTTTGTTTGGCCACTAGCTTAGCCATCCTCTTAGCCTTATTCCTCTGACGGTTGCTCATGCCTGGTCGAAACTCTGAGTCAATCAACTCAGCAGCCTGAATGGGCTGAAAATAAAAAACAGTGGACTTGATTATTCATTTTAATGTTTAACTGAATACATACATCAGATACACGACAGCGTAGACCAGATTACTGAATGAATCATTAAACAGATTCATTTTCTGGCTCAAAGCGTTGCAAATTTTCCAAGTGATGCATACTGCTTCTAGGTTCAACAGTGGTTCTTTGAGGTTAACTGCATTCTCCCCCTGCTTATTCATGCACGAGTCATGTTCCTGGGTTTACACCGTGTAGGAATTTCTACCAGTTCAAGTGCAGCTACCTATGCCACACAAACATTTAGATGCCAATTATTTGAAGCATGTTTGACATCTTAAATACAGATCGGGAAGAAATATAAAAAGGTGTTATTGTATTCCCACACTGACATTACCGACATTCCCTGCCTTCTACTAACTTGGTGCGTGCAGCGCCTCACAATAGAGAAGGCACACAAGCGTGGAAGATAGGAAGTCTAGACTGCATGATCCAAGACTAAAACTGGAAACACAGAAAACACCAACGTTTGATTTTATAAGAGGCAAAGAAAAGGGAAAAGAATGTTTCACAGAACGATTGCCAGGCCAGAAGATGATCGAATCTGTATGAATTTGATCAAACCATGTCTACAGATATCATGTTAAGACAAGCCTATCTGCTGCAATGCGAAAAAGGTGTACAATAACACAACACGGTACGAGTCACATTTGTGACTAGGCCCTGCACAGCTCCACAGCAACAGCCTGTCACTGCCAGACAAGTTATAGCCTGCCTTTCTTCACATAATTCAACTTAGCCAGGTAGTCAGGCCATAATCCTGAGCCACACTATCTCACTATAGGGCAACAGTCAACTGCTGACAGAAGCAGTGACAACAGGCACCACTTCCTGCTTCACTTCTGATTATCTTCACCGATTTCTCAGCTTTATAGTGCATCCATGGCCACAACCTGCAGTAAGATGCATGCTCAGATCTCCTGAATCGAAGCTATGAGACCCACCACATGGTTGTGGGAGCTGGATCCAGCTGTGGCTTTGCTTCCATGTGCTCTAAGCGCACTGGTTTGGCAGGTATAGTCTAGGTCGTCGTCGTTGAACAGCTCCTCGGTGTCCATGCCGATAGCAGCACCCATGTCCAGACCCAACTTCTTCTGTAGAAGCTTTCTCTGGCGGACCAGACGTTCCTTTGGGTCCATCTCACCTGACAACAAATGACAGGAAGTCAGAGGGAAAACTTTAGATTGCCCAGAGAACAAGTACACCAGAGCTGTGTGAATACTGATTATGTGTATGTGAGTCCAAATTAACAGCTTTCCAGGGACACAAATAAATACAGGAACAGTATCATAATAGCTCTGAAAGTCACAGAAGTTGTGTAGGGGGACCTTGAAGGAGAAGTGAAATCAGACCATAGAGAAGCAACGACTGGTATGACAACTGAATGCGGGAAGATAAACTAAAAGGAAGTTAAAATGCAAATGAGCTTCAAAAAGCAGCTTTCCAATTCAAATTCATGGCTAAGTAGCCATGCTGGTACTGATATTTGTGTTTGTGTCAGAATCAACCTCTGATATCAGTGGGGATGTTGCTATAGTCCAGTCTCACTAATAGCCATTTTTCCCAATACAGCTGTGTGGGTTTTTCCATTCAAAGTTTGTGAAGCAAACAAAAGTCATCATTGATCAAACACAAAGCTCTCCAGCTGTCAGGGTCTTATACTCATGGATCCAGTGAGCCACACCTTTCCACTTTAAATGTTACAATATAAAATGAAATTAAAAAAAAAAAATATTCAAAATGATAAAGAATCACTACAAACCAGTTTTGTCCTCCTGCAGCTCAAATTCGGCCCCAGCAGACCCCAGCAGAGAGGCCCCATGTTTGAGCAGGCGGGAGATGTCAAAGTGATAGAAAGTCAAGCGGTCACAAGAGGAGTCCTCTGGAGACAAGTCTTCACAAGACTCTACAGGAAACAGACACAAGAGGTTCAAGACTTAATGAATCAGAGGCCATGTCCACACTAATGCCTTTCATCAAGAAACAAGCTTGCTTTTTCCACCCATGAAAACTGAAGTGTTTAGAAAACAGTCTGAGGTCTTACATTGTTTTATGAATGGGAAAAGTAAGTGATTCATGCCTTCAGATATTGGGTATGAACTCTCTGAGAACTCATTAACTCACAATACAGGTGCTGTCAATAAGCTCTGTTTATGAATGTGTCCGTTTGTGATTAAAAAACAAACAACTGGTTTCAGTGTAGCAGTAGAAGATATGTCTTGGTTAATATGTTAACATTTATGAGCCAGGTTTAAATCCACATGTTATAATCCTACAGTCAGGTGACAAAAACATGTCAAATCTAAAATGATGTGTTTGGCTACAGTGAAGAGTGAGCGTGGCGAGTGGAAGGCCACAGAACAGGGTTTAACACTGATGAGGATCTGTAAATGATATTACCGTCCCTGGCGACTGTGAGGACGTCGTGGTACAGGTTCTCTTTTCCAGCTGACTACCAACAGAGTGTATTATGCAAAACCTACGTGTCGTATCAGTTAGCTCGGTTTTAAAATTGGGGCTGATCTCTCAAACGTTTTGTGCCACCAAACGGACGCCCAAGTTCCATGTAACTTCTGTTCAGTTCCAGGGAAACCAGCGATGACACGGTGATTACATGTACTGTGACCAAACTCAAGTTAACATTAGTGCTTATGCTTATTTAAAGTGGTGCATATGACTTAACAAGCCTAAAAGCTCACCTTTTTTAGGTTTGGGTGTTGGGTCCCACTCAGGAATATTCTTCACAATGGCCTCTACAGCTTGGCCTGCTGCTATACGTGTGTCCCAGTTGGGACTCCGTAGGTAGGTCAAGACCTTGTAAATGACAGGAGATAGATTTTATTTACTGCACACATAAACTTAAAGTTGTCTGAACTATAAAAGAGAAAATGGATGTTGTTCCTTTTGTCACAGTTGATACAAGATCAGAATCACACAGAACATTCAGTCCAGGTGCTTCACACTGTTATACATTGCAAGGACAACCACATATGCCCAGGCTGACGTTATCTTATGGAGGCAAAGCTGTCAAACATACCTTTGATAGGAGGCTATTGAGTTCATGTGGGTGGAGTTTGACCACTTCTCCAAGCTGTTGGGCCGCTGCTTTCCTGGTTACTGGTGTTGTTCCGGTGTCAAGCAGGATAAACAATCGATCAAGCCTAAAAGACAAAAAACAAACAACAAAGCAAGGTCAACATAAACACAACAAGACAGATTTCGGTGCTCTGTTGCGTACGGACCACTAACACTGAACCTAAAGCAACAACCAGAATATATTAACTAAACCGTTGCATGTGTTTAACTTAACTTAAGAAAAAGGCAACACATTTAAGTGCCTGGGTAAAACTATTATGCATTATTAATTGTTCGGCTTTTCACCAAGGTAACCTGTAATAATCCTGTTCTTGAGATCATTAGCAGTCTATTAATAAAGTGTGGATTAGAGCTTTACAGGACGTGACCACAGGTACCACTAATACTTAATACTGAACTACAGATGTGTCTACTTTGCTATGCAAAAGAGGACCACTGAGACCACGTGGAATTACAATAACAATCACACCGGGAAAACACATCAAAACAATGTTAGGAAACCGCTAACAGTTGTTCATTTTATATTAGATTACTATCAAAGGACAGGTTGCAAGCACTTTGAAGTTTAATACGCTTGTGTGTGTTTAAATATTGCACTAAATAAACAGGTTGCAACAGTAAGTATATCCAAATGGTGGTCGCAAGCTGGCTTTAACAACTTCCCAATAACGTTATTTCACCTTTACTCAACGGAAGAACATCCGCTGTTAAACACTAAACACGTGGAATTAAATGACACCTCGCACCTGCAGTTGAACAATAAGCCCAAACTGAGTTATAAACCAATTCCCTCCTGGCCCGGCCTGTGAACTAACTTACACCATAACGCCACAATGTGTTAGCTCCCCGGCTAACGTTACCCGGCCGTCGCCAAAATCCAGAAGCAAGCATGCGTGAGCGACAAGATAACCCCCCCTCCCCCCGAGAGAGAACAGTTAATTAAACCATACCTTGATACAGCCATGGTCCAATTATTACACTGCCTTTCACGTCCCACATTCAACAGGCACCCTGTAATTGAAGAGTGGCTCCCGCTACAGATAACCGAGGCCCGGGCTGTTCGGCTCTACGACCACCGTCCGTCCGACTTCACCACCGGTTCATGGCTTCAAAGTTGTCCGTCCGGTAACTTTCGGTATCTTCTCCTACGAAATGTCGCCCGGTGTCCACACGCACATCAATCTACAGCTCGAGTCACCCTGCAGAAGTCTCCGCGGAGAGATATTTCACCCGGATAAGGTGTAAAGAGTTATTTTGTTGCACGTCGAGGGCAAGCCAGAAGACTGTTTTTATATGAGGAGCCATCTTGCATTTATTCCTTCCTCCATAGCAGGCGGATGCTGATTGGCTGGAGCCGCCGGGGAGAGCCAATCAGAATGCACGTTAAAAGAGGAAACGAATGAAAGGAAAAAAAATAAATAAATAAAAGGGACATTTTTTATTTTTTTCTATAAATGTTTGAGACATTGTTGCATCCTACGTGGCTGCAGTTTATTTAACAATACATATATATATATATTTATATGTTCAGATATTATTATTATTATTATTATATTATGAATATTATTATTATTATATACTGTTATTAACAATGACACTACCTTCATATCATCAGTACTATTACCAGCAACTACAACTCTTTGCACCATACCTAACTATTTATCTTTTCTATCTTTTCTAAGTATTTAAATCTCACTCAGTCTAATGTGTTTTTAACGTATGTAATGTGTTTTATATTGTTTTACTGATTGGT